GAAACAAACTTTCGACGAAATGGGTGTCGACGAAATGATTGTCGACGAAATAATTTTCGACGAAGTAAACGCGACCGAAATAAATAAATAAAAAATTATTATTGCAGATTATTACAAAAATTTTCTGTGAAAATGGTTATTTTTCTCTCTTTTTTTCGTCACTTTCTTCTTTTCGTCAACTTTTCCCTCTTTTTTCCTTTTCGTCAATATTTTCTTTGCGGTAAATTACATTTCGTTATCCCATTAATAGACTTGAATTTGGTAGGGAGATTTTTATAACTTGGCTGCTATAGATTTATAAGAAAAAACTTATGGATACGGCAATAATTAAGATGTGGCTAGGCATACTACACGCTATACTTTGTGTGGTATTTGCAATTTACTCCTTCAGCTTTTTTTTTCTGAGTCATCTGATCAAGTGATAATTGGGAAATCATCATTAACAAAAATCTATGATCAATTAATTCATTTCAGAAAAGATATATGATTTTGATGTTAAAAGCCGCCTCGCATAAATTTAAAATTTAGGGATCTAGTGAAAATGATGGCAATGTTGTGGTATTTAGCAAAATCACTTTGAAATTTCTTTGTGACATAATATACAGTATCAAAATACCCACATATGATATGAACATACACTATAATAATTGACAATTAAAATACTTGATGCGTAAAACGTTCTTAAAATTGTAAAAATTATGATATAATAAAAACTATATTTTAGAATCCTTGAAAAAAAAAATATATAAAGGGTTGACATAATAAAAACTAGTCCTAGACTTGAAAAAAAAAAATAATACATTGTATTTTTTTAAAGAGAAAATTTCAAGATTTTGCAAGTAATGACATTATGGTATCCATTTTTTTTTCTAAAATCTTAATTTTTTCATTAACATCACCATCATTGAAATCATCCAATTTATTATAAATCTGCCATAAAGAACCAGCTTGATGGTCAAAATCCTTTTTTTCAAGAATGTATTGAATATAAGAATTTTCATTTTCGTATTTTGTGTATAAACAACCTCTTTTAGATTTGGTTCTTTCTTTCCATGAATCAAGATTATTATTGTTATAACAAATGTATTTTGGATCAAGTTTAGGAGGATTTAAAAAATTAACATCTAAATCCAAAGCCTCATAGTCTGATATGAAAGCAGCTTGGAGCTTGAGTAATTCAAGTTTACTTTGCTGTGAAGTGTTTGTATACACATTGCTAAATAAGATTTATTTATTTACATTAATATGGAAATAATAATATCATTATTATTAAAACAATAAAATATAATTATTAATCACCTCATAAAAGCTATAAACATATTTTGTATAATGCTTACAATTAACAAGCTTGCAATTAAAGATAAAATTTGAACCATAAAATAACTGCCATAAGTATCCCTATTTATCCAGTTACCATTAATCCAAAAATATGCAGCTGGAATTGAACTAAAAAAATTTGAAAATGGATTATCAATTGATGATGTGCTGTCAAAATCTGCTTTAATTGTTATATCATTATACACTGTTTGATTGGTAGTTGTATTGACTATAGAATATGTATTCACACTTGGTACTAATCCTATATCATCTGGATTTTGTAGCAATATATACCTATAATAATATATTATTATTATATTATTTTAGAGAGAATGTTTTAAATTACAAATATACTACTTACATTACATGAGCAAATGCCAATATAACAAATAACAAAAATGGCCCAATAGTCACCAAAAGATTATCTGTGATTATAATATAAAATCCTATACCTACAAAAATTAAATTTTATATATATATATATATATACACAATGTACCTTCAAATAATCTAAGGTATAAAAGCTTTTTAAATAAACAACAAGTTTGGCTCATAGCACAAGTCTTGCAATGAAGATTACACGAAGTGCCAGGGCCTGGATTCTTACAAAATTTTAATCTATTTGAATGTTAATTAAGTATTAAATTTTATTATTATTGTTATTTTATTATTATTTGATTATATCAATGAATTTTTTTAGATTGGATTTAGATGGATTGTGATTAATTATATGATGTTGATTATAAATTGAGCTATTTAGTTTAATAAATAATTTTTACCCAGAATAGTGAATATTTTCAAAGTTTTAATACTTTTACTTAATGATTCAATCAAATTATTTGATATTCCCCAATAAGATTTTAAAGTCCATCGCCATAAAGCTTCTTTTGCTTTCAGTTCATGTTCAGATCTTGGTTTAGGATAAAAATCATTCCATTCTGACCATGAATCAGATATTAAATGAATTTCTTGCAATTTTTGATTTTGAAATATTGGTATTATTATATCTTTTAAAACATAAGATGGCGACAACGAAGAAGATGATGTAGATGAAGAAGTTATATGATCTAAATCTATCACCAATGATAATAAGTTTTCATGACATAATAATAATAAGGATCGAAGACCTTTGGACGTAAAAGTTTGTTGATTAATTTTACCAAGAAATAAACATTCTATTGTACTTTTTGGTAACATTTGTAAAGGTGAATTAGTAATTTCTGCAGAACTCGAATTAATTATCTCTGTGGAATTTGAGTTCATCATCATCATCGTCGTCGATAATTCATTTTCAATCATTAATAAATCTTCATCGTAAAGAATTAAATTTTTCAAAAATAAATTTTTTAAATTTTTAGACTCTAGTAATAAATGAATTATTGATTTGCTCGTAATGTTTGCACATGGGTAAATCCCATCGTATCCAATAGTGACTTCTGTTAAATTACTGGTTTTGTTATAATTGTCATCTTTGAGAAGTGGTATGATGTAATTAATTATTCCTTTGTTGGTGAAATTTGTTCCGTTCAATGACAATCTTTTAATATCTTTGATAAATGATTTCTTACGACTTATTTTCTTCAATAATAAATCATTGAATGACGAATGATTAGAATCTAAAATTAATTCCTTTAATCCTTTTCTCTTGAATAGAATCCTTGTTAGTTTGTTGATGACTTTATCTTCGCCTCGATTAATTTTCTTGTTTTGGTTGGTTTCTTTACTTTCATTTTCGCTTCCACTCTCACTTTCTTCTTCATCATCACTGTCATTGTTATCATGGTTAATAGGAGATTTGATCTGAAGATGTAATGACTTTAAGTTCGGCAATAATTCTTGTAGCAATTCCAAAGTTGCAAATAATCCGTTTGTTTTTTTATTAGAAAACATTGAAATTGGACAAATAATTATATTTTTTATAAATTTATAATAATCAAACATTTTAGAAGAAGTGGCGGCAGATTTTAAAATTAGAAAAATTTTACGTTCATTTGCTTCATAAATATAAATAGTTTTCCATACTTGAGGTATTGCGGCTTTGGCAAATGTTCTATTAATAAATATGATGTTTGATCCGATCACCTTGAATCTCTCATGTTTAATGATTATAGATGTAATGTTTTCTAGAATGTCAAATGGAAGTTTTGATAATGGAAATGGTGATTTATTTTTTGATTGCATTATTATGATTTATGAAAAAGTGTCAAAATTTTGAAAAATGAAAAAAAATGTTTTTTTTATCTTAATTTATATTTATTGAATTTAAATTTATAATGTCTTTATATATTTTTATTGTCTTTTTTATTATTTATTTGTATAATATATTAATATGTATTTATAATTTATTACATGTTTGTTGTGTGTGTGTGATCTATTCTTTACAAAAATTATTACTCTAATTTTAGCAATTTTTTTACACATGTGTACACACATTTAATTCGTAGAGAAAAAATTTTCTCCAGAATTTTTTTCTTTAAAAAAGGATAAATGGATGAAACGAGTTTTTGTTTGTGTGGCTAAGTTTTTTATATATACCAGAATTGGAATTTAGAATAATCTCAAGTTAACGCCCGATTATTTAGCAGTTATGGCTTGTCAGTTAATTATAACCAACTCGGTGCGTGTCGATATTAATTAGTTTACGAACATGCATTGGTTCTCGCTTACTGTGTACTCTACGAATCTGTGAGATTCATTCAATGGCACAGTATAACTTTAAATAAATAAATATGGCTCTTTACAAAACTCAAATGCTAAGTTCCTTTTTTATTTATTTCGGTCGTTTACCCTTGTTTTATTTCCATTTGGCCGATCGCAAACTCTCTTTTTTCATTACAAAACAAATAACTTAGACAGCTCATTGACTAACTTTGGGCTAACTAACTAGCGCTAACAAAGTCTCGTAACATACACTCCCTGGACAAAAGTTTCGGTAACCACAAAACAATTAATCACGTAAAAACGTACATAATAAAACACAAATAAATTTCATCAAATTGTGATTAAAGTTCTTAAGAATATGTATGCAAAATTCAAATTTTTGTGATGTTTGGGAGAATAACAGTTAAAAAAATAAAAAGTTCGACCAAAAATAATTTTTTGGAAAATGATCTCCAAAAGATTTTATTTGCAAGTATTTATATCACTTCTCAAAAAAAAAAAAAAACGCACACCACACCCGAAATTTTACTTATTTGTATACAAGTCAACACTTTGTTGGCCGCCCATTATTGGATATAACAGCTTCTATTCTTCTCGACATACTTTCTATCAAATTCATGTAAATATTTTCTAGGAATTTGATTCCATTCTTCATGTAAAGTTCAACATTATTTTTAAATTTATTTGGACCTTTCCGAATACGAATTTCTAATTGATCCCACAGATGCTCTTTGGATTCAAATCAGGAGATTGACTTGGCTTTGACATTTTTTAATTTTATCAAAAATTTCAAAAATTTCAAGCCAATTTTTTACAAAAAACTTGTATAAAAAACTAGAATAATTAATAAATATATTCATACTCCATTTAATATGTTTTAGATAATTGATGATTTTAAAATAATAATTCTAATTATATTATTCAAAAACCTTATTATGTCTGCTCAACTGTTATATCATTATCTTTCAACAAATTATTATATTTTTTAAATATAATAATAATAAAGTTAATAACACCAAAGAAAATATATGATAATTATGATGATAAATTATAATTTACCAAATTATAATGCTTCAGACTTCAATAAGTAATAAATCAATTTAGTTGTATCTCGCCATTCTCTTGCATTTAACCCATAATGTGAATGTGGTTTTATTTCACCAAAAATTTTACAATTAAAGTAGGCATTTTGCCATTTTAAATTTCTATAATTAAAACTGATTCAGTATTCTGTCTATTAAATAATTTTCTATGTTATTTCACACAAATTATAAACCAGTATGTATTAAATTATGTAATAGTATGTATTAAATTGTCATAGATTTGTGTTTGTATATGAAATATGTTACATAACAAAATAACCTTTCATTGGAATTCTAGAATATCTATGTTTTTTGAAGAAGGTATTGGACAGATATTGGCCTTGTACAAATTAAAATTAGACTGATTAGTAATATTAATTCTACAAATTTTAATCTTGTTAATTGTTTGTCAATTAGAAACTATTAATATGATGATGATAATTTTCTAGATATTTAAGAATATAGTGCAGGTTGTCCAATGGGGCAGACTGCAACAAAATCAGACAAAGTGAACATAATACTACAAAGAAATTTCAGGGATCAAATTTAGTCATTTGTAATGTGATCATAATTAATATCCCATTGTTATCTTAATTCGTGATTTGTGATACAAATGCTCAAAAATTTGAAAATTAATTAGTAAATCAGTAAATTGTGGGGATATTAAAACATAAATTCAAAACATGTCAAAATCTCAACTCGCTTACTATACAATTGTGTATTTATTCTACATAATTATGACTAAAAGTAAAATATTTGCTCCTACACTTATTTCTTGTGGTCTCATTATTCCTGAATTACATTTTGGACCTTTTTCATGTAATTGGTGGTTGGAAATAATTACTGACAATGGGCAAGAATCATTTCCTATATGGGTAGGAATGTCAATAGTAACAGAATTAAATGGTCAAAATTTCACTGTACATGTTTTTAAAGGTAGTGAAGGTCAGTCAGAATATATTTGTGAGTCTGATGAAGAAAAAGATCATATAAGTAATGCTCTTAATGCATTATATCAAAAAATTTAAAAAAAAACCAAATATTCTGGAGTGAATGAATTTGGTTTAGATGATCTTTTAATATCAGAAAAACTTCTAAATGGTGTATTATAGACAAAGGGTGCTTCAACAATGGTTGATGAAGCATTAAAAGAACAGGCCACTGAGGCCAACTCAATACCAAGAGTATATTTGATCTGTGATGCATCATCTGACAATGTCTTCAAAGCTCCAGTAAAAGTGGTTCATTTGCAGGAAATCCTCCATTTTCGAAAATCGCAATGCATTATGCCTATACCTGTTTCAATTTATCGACAATAAGGAGAATATCCATTCTCCAAATGGTTTGCATAATGGAGCCAAGACAATAAAAGTCATGCCAGTGTTACCATAATCAGCTAAATTAAGATCGGGTATTTTGAGAAAGCAAGCTAAATCCAACTTCTCCATTATCTCCATCTCCTTGTTGCAAACATTCAAGGAATGTGCATATTGTAATACTCTATCATTATCGTAAAGGCCTTTGTACATCACAGATGTTTTCCCTATACCAATTGATTTTACAAATTTGATTTCTTGATAAATACGTGACATCACCCAATTAAGGCTCCGCATGAGCCAGCTCGCAAGCCAGCTTGTGAGGAGCTTTACACCCAATCAAGTGTGAATGGTTTTTCAACATTGTGTAACCAATTGCTTCGATCCCTTCAGTTGGTAAACCATCATCTGTCTCCAATTTTTCGAGTCGTGTATTTTTATGTTGAAACCTATCCTTACCAACCTGTTAATGTAAATTTTCGTGAGTACACGGAAATCTGTAAAAAGAACATAAACATATGCTCAATGTGGTTGAAGTCAAAGTAGTTTCTCGCCAAATGGTGTTTCACGCCCAACGTATGCATTTGAGAACTGTATATTGGATCACTACAATTTCACAACATTTAGGGGTTAAGAAGATGTTGATTGTTCAATTTGCACATCATAGACAACATGTTGTATATTATTAAAATTTTTAGTAATTGCAACACGCATACAAAAATACTCTTGTAGAAAATTTTCTCCCTTTTTACCTTCTTCTGGGATTTCAGGAATTGAATTCTTCCTAAACAAGACAATTTTACTCCACTCATCATATTTAGTTGTGTGTGTGGAGATGGAAATGTGAATTCTTCGCCTATCTGCAGAATAAGCTGCCATTTTTCTGTTTCAGACTAAATTGCTAAATACTTAAAGCCACCATCCTGAATCGATTCCATAGTGTTAACATCTACCTGTGCATGAATATCATAATGGTATAGATGAGCCAATGACCTTGATTTCTTAAGTTTAATGTCAAGATCTCTTCTTCGAATGTGCGTTTCATCGTAGCAAAAGCGTCGCCTAATGAATGGATGATGAATTGGGTGAAATGCCACAAGTTATGTATGCTGAATACTCCAACATTACAAATAATATACCAAAAGTATGTGGATGTAAAGGAATTTTGTAAAATTGTTGTGTGTCTCTAAAAAAGAAATATAAGAATTGAATTCAATTATTAACATGGCAAACTTCTCTCAAATGTGAGTATTTTGGCTATATGGAAAAGGAAGATCTCAATATATTTGACATTTTACTTGCCAGTTTCTTTTACGATGAAAATGTAAAATAGATGATGAGTGGAAAAATATAAAAAATGAATTAAAATTTAATTATTGAAGAAAAGTACACACAAGCTTGCTAATCCCAACGTCAAATCACAAAAGAATACTTATAAGCCTTCAAAATGTCTGTTTTCTGTTTATTGATGAGAATTTTATTGATGCAAAAATACACAAGTATGTTTTCCGATAAGAATCAATATGAGAATTAAGATTCAGCTCAATGAAAAGGATTCATTATTCGAAATCAAAAGATAGTGTGAAACCTGGTTATATATGTGAGTCAAATGATGAAGATAAATAATTTATTCAATATGACACAAAGTTATATATCATCAGAGAGAAAAGGTACTGGAACAACTCCTACTGATGTTTGGAGCAATTATCTATTTGAAAAGCTTTGATGGAAAAGAATTATTTTGGTTTACGCAATCAACTCATTATATGGGAAATTAAAGAATGTATAGACACACACACACACCTTACACCTTCTCACTGAAATTGAGACAATTAAAATGCTTGATGCGTAAAAACGGGTTTAAAATTGTAAAATTATGATAAAAACTATACTTTTAATTAAAAAAAAAAAATAAATACTGTAAAAATGTTAAAAATAAAAATTATCACATAAAATAAAGGGTTAACATAATAAAAACTAATCCTGGACTTGGAAAAAAAATAATAATACATTGTATTTTTTTAAAGAGAAAATTTCAAGGTCTTTGGAGTAATTGTTGTAATTGTTGTAATTGCAACATTATGTTATCCATTTTCGCATCCATTTTTTTTTCTAAATTTGAAATTTTTTCATTAACATCATCATCATTGAAATCATCCAATTTATTATAAATCTGCCACAAAGAACCATCTTGATGGTCAAAATCCTTTTTTTCAAGAATGTATTGAATATAAGAATTATCATTTTCGTATTTTGCATATAAACAACCTCTTCTTGATTTGGTTCTTTCTTTCCATGAATCAAGATTATTATTATTATAACAAATGTATTTCGGATCAGGTTTAGGAGGATTTAAAAAATCATCTTCTAAATCCAGAGCCTCATAGTCTGATATGAAAGTAGCTTGGAGCTTGAGTAGTTCAAGTTTACTTTGCTGTGATGTGTTTTCATACACATTACTAAATAAAATTTATTTATTTTATTAATATGAAATAATAATATTATTATTAAACTTAATAAGATATAATTATTAATTACCTCATAAAAGCTATAAACATATTTTGTATAATGCTTACAATTAACAAGCTTGCAATTAAAGATAAAATTTGAACTGCAAAATAACTGCCATAAGTATCCCTATTTATCCAGTTACCATTAATCCAAAAATATGCAGCTGGAATTGAATTAAAAAAATTTGAAAATGGATTATCAATTGATGATGTGCTATTAAAATCTGCTTTAATTGTTATATCACTATACACTGTTTGATTGGTAGTTGCATTGAATATAGAATATGTATTCACATTTGGTACTAATCCTATATCATCTGGTTTTTGTAGCAATATATACCTATAATATAATATATTATTAATATATTATTTTAAAGAGAATGTTTTAAATTATAAATATACTACTTACATTGTATGAGCAAATGCCAATATAACAATAAGCATAAATAACAAAAGTGGCCAAACAGTTACCAAAAGATTTTCAGTGATTATAATATAAATTCCTACATCTACAAAAATTTAAATTTTTTTAATAAATTTTTATATTTATAAATAATATATATATATATATATACACAATGTACCTTCAAATAATCTAAGGTATGAAAGCTTTTTAAATAAACAATTAATTAATTAGTTAATTATTAATGATAATAACAAAAATGATAAATAATAACTTTACTTACAAATTCAATCCAAAGAAATAACACTGAAAAAGATATAGCAGCAATTGTTCCTTGATCAGGTTTAACACTACCAAATGCATTTTCAATTTCAAATGATTTAACTATTATAGATGTTCCAACTATTAAGGGTACAATAATAGCAATAATATCCAATATGTTGTATTTATCAGAAAAATATTTTCTAAATCCATAGTATTTTAATTGTCTGAATTCAGTTAATAAAAGATGATATCCTGTAAAATAAAAATAACTTATAACTAAAATTAAAAAGGTTTGAAGATTACTTGAACTATTTTGATATGTTGTATAGGCCCAAATTAATATACCATAACAAACTGCATATTGTATAAACATAAAGAAAAGTAATGAAAAATATATTTTTGCAGGTTTCCAACGAAAATTTATTAAAGCCTCTATTGCTGGATTATCAAAGATTAAACCTTTTCCATCCAATCCAATCATTTGAATAAATGAACTAAGTTTTTTTTCATCATCAATATACTTATGAGGAAGTATAAAACGTCTAAGAAAAGCTAGGAAAGTTGTAACTACTTTTTTTTTCTTTTCAATCTTATTAACTGTGAAATTTGGAAGTGGTACTACACACAAGTTGAATGGTACTTTATTGTGTTTGTTTTTTCCTTCAGCTTTTTGAACAATTTTATCTTTAATTTCATTTGTTCTATTTTGATTATCTTTTCCAAAAGCTACTTTTTTAAAAGAAATTTTCTTTGCACTATTTTGTAGGGTGTTGCTTTTGGTATCTTCAAGTTTAAAATTTATTCCTATACTATTATCAGTCAATTCTTTATCCAAAAAAAGTTTAAAATTTATTCCTATGTTATTACCAGCAAAACATTCTTTGTAAAATAAATCATACACATAATTTTCTAAATGATATTGGAAAAGTAAAGGTAAAGTTGTTGAAACAGTGATCATCCATCCAATATGTTCAATAGCATTGTTGGAATAATATTCTAATAAATAGCCTATAATTAAATTATCATTTTTTTCAGTGTAATAATTGATTGCTAATACTAATGCATTATTTTGAATATTTCCATTTCCATTTCCATTTCCATTTTCATCTTCATTTTCATTTTCATTTTTATTTTTTTGCCATTGTTTAGCTCTTGGTAAATGTAAATGCAAGTGATTTGAAGTATTATAGGATGTTTTTTTAGTTGTATTTTGAATAACAATATTGTCTCCAATTTGATCTTTACCAAATAAAATATGCTTTATAAGAGAATTAACTCCACCATTAATAAGGTTTGACATAACCTCATAACGAGTATCCATAAGTTTCCATATTTCAGGTTTGTCTCTAACGAATTTCAAAATAATTTTTACAATATATTCATACATTTCTTCAAATTTACGTTGTTTTTTATAGCTTACTAATAAATCTTTTTTAAAATTAAGATACTCAAGAGCCTTACAAGCATGTCTTATAGGTGTTACATATTGATCTGGATAAGGCCATTGGATTTTTTTGCTGCTCCCATTATCTAAACCCCAAGTAACTTCCAGTTCAAATTTTCTACAACCAACTCTCAAATTCTTTATTTTTAAATGTTTGTGACCATCATGATTTTCATTTTCCACATCGTTATTTTTTTTTTTTTCTTTTTCAACATGATTAAGCATCCAAATATATTCAAGAACATGAAATTCATCAGTAACTTTACGCCATATTTGAACAGTAGTTAAACCAATAAATAATTGTAATGATCGATTTTCATCAATAAAAGCAGATGTTTTTTCATAATTTTTTCTATCAACCCATTGTTCCTTATTATTTACTAGTGGTGTAATTTGATCAACATCAACCAATTTTTCCTTATTATCTACTAATAGTAAAGTTTTTGGACCACCAAGATCACCATGTTTTTCAAAAGGATCAAATATTTTATGTTTATCAGAATCATCTTCTGCACAATAATACCAATGGTTTAAATATTTATCAACTTTCTTAAAATTTTTAAATACAGTAAATGATTTTTCTTCTTTTATTCCATTATTGTCATCATCATTTTCAAATACTTTGAATTCTTTGAATTCGATATTTTTAAGAACATTTAAGACTTTGCCATCTTCTTTAACAAAAAAAATCATCCCATTTGATCTTGCAATATTCAAACAATCAATTTTTTTTGGAATAATATTGTTGTTAATTTTATATTTAAAATCTTCAGGAGAAGAATTAAAAATATCCCAAATTTTTATTGAGATTTCATGATTGGTGTCATTTTGTGTAATAATGAATAATCTTTCATCATCATGTATAAATTCTAGAAATAAAACTTCCTCTTTGTTATCCAAACTTTTTAAGGCAATAAAAAGACCTGATTCCATAGAATAAATTCTAATATCATTATTTCCACGTGTAAATGCCAGCAAAAGATTGTTTAATGAAATTGCATAAGCAGGGGTACCATATTTTTGAGTTTTTAATTCTTCACGAGTAAAAAAACTTTGTTCAGCTTCCATTGTTAACATTGAATATAATTCCATTGTTTGGATTCTGTCTTTATATTGATTAAATAGAAAATAGTTTTTATAAATACAGGAAACAAGTCTTTCCAAACAAGGTATTTGTTTAAACCAAATTTCAATATCTTTTTTGAGTTTTGGTGGAAAAAGAAATCTTTTTAATTTTAAACTTGAATAAATATTTGGTTTATCTAAATCATCAAGAGATTTATAAAATCCTTTTACATTTGTTATTAAAAGACTTGTTTTGGTTTTTTCAACTTCTGGTAAAAACCTCACTATTCCACCAATATTACTAGTTAAACAAGTTTCATTTACTTTATTTTCATCTACCTTAATCTCATAATTGCTATTGTTACTTTTATCATCATTTTTATAAATATCACTTATATCTATATAAAATATTACACTACTAGAAGGTTGTGAATGCAAAGGATAATAATGAAGTTCTTTCATATTTTGATATTCTAATTTGAGTTCTTTATATTCCTTAAGTTTATCATGTAAGTGATTAATTGGTCTATCACGATCAATCATATCATTTGGTACTACTCTTGAAATTGCTACTAAAATTGTTGGTTTACTATTAAAAGAAATCATATTTGATATAGAAAATGACCAAGTTAAAAGTTTTCTATTGTCCTTTTTTATTTGTTCTTCTTGTTCTCTATTATCCTTTTTTGTTTGTTCTTGTTTTCTATTATCCCCTTTTGTATTTCCTTTTTGTTTTATATTATCCTTTTTTATTTGTTCTTCCTGCTTGCTATTATCCTCTAAAGGTTTTACATATGGATTAAGTTCATCTAAAAACGTTAATTTTTTAACAATATCACAAATCTTTATTTTGTCTTGTCCTTTATCACTGCCACTATCATTATCATCATTATTTAATAATTCAAAATTTTCATGATGTGTAATTTTTAATCTTAAACTTTCACCCTTACTACAATCAAGCCTAGCTATATATTTTCCATCGTCACTAATTGTAATATAATATTGATCTTTTTTTTTACCACTACCACTACTGTCATTATAAGTAGTAATAATATTTTGTTTTTCAACTTCTATTATATTATCAAGATTATCAGTCATTATTATCAAAAAATTATTGATTTAATGACAATAATACGCGATTAATTTTTTTTTTAAATTATATTTTTAAAAAATTTACAAAAGAAATCAATCCTTTTTATATCAATCGAATACATTGTTGTTACGCAACTTTCCATTATAATCGAATTCAATCAAAAGTTTTTTTTTTGATTTTCAACTGGTCAAGCAAGATTGTGCTTTGATTGGAATGTAACGTTGCACCCTACATCCCCCTACAATGAATTTTAAACATTGATCACCAGTATCCTTAATGAAGGGTGTCACGTTACAATGGTTTCTAACTTTGTAATGGATTATACTATTCAAATTTTGATAGTTTCCTAACACTAAATTTTAACCGCTTTGTTTCCTTTTTGGTTTGTGACATGAAACACTACCGCGCTAAAATTTCAACACTGAATGCATGCATCTCAGCCCTGAAGTTAAAATTAGCTATACTTGGATAACAACCCCTAATATTAACAATAGTGTCGATTTGTTACATTAAATCTTGAAAAATTTCATCACCAAACTCTAGCTAGTGATTTGATTTCGTAATTCTAGCGATTCAACGATAAAAACATTCTAGCATTGTCTATTTTTTAGTGTACTATACAAAGTGCCAATATTTGACCAGCCTATGTGTGTTTCAAGCGTATTTTGATTTTTATTTCATTAATATTACGCGTAGTTAGCTCCAAAGTCAAAAACCATAAAGTTAACACACCAACTCGTGTGTATGTCCTACATACCGATATTGAAGACAATTTGAACGCGTTTTGAATTTTTTTTAATAGTTTAATTTGTGAAAATTTGTTGATAATAATTAGTTTCCACACCTCCCATGAATAAAAAATATATAAATTTAACATTTTTTCGACGGCGCTGATGTACTATAAATAACTCAATTTTTGGTTACAAATTCACGGTTTTATGGCATTGTAGCATGATAATGATAATAATAACAGATATTTACTTCAGTATAATTTATATATATAGGAACATCAAACTTGATTCTTTGCAAAATAACTTTTCTCATTATATAACCATCTCACTAACATTGATTAAAATTATCATAGCTATCATGATTGAGATACAGAATAACGGTGCACATAGAAACAAGTAAACAACAAATAAAGTGCGTGATGTTCCAAAAATTTCCTTTACTCTTTGTTATCTACTATAAACAAATGGTACTTCAACAATGGTCGATGAAGAACGGCTATCAAGTTCAACTCAATACCAAGAGTATATTTTATCTGTGATGCATCATCTGACAATGTCTTCAAAGCTCCGGCAAAAGCAGGAAATCCCTTGGAGCGAGTTCGTGTAATTATCACATTACACAAGCATCAATGTGGGAAAATCATATTTTATTTATTATTATTATTTTTTTAATGATTTATTATTATTATTTATTATTTAAGATTTACATTTTACCGCTATTTTTTATATTAATAAACATTTCCTTTCGAAAAGGGCATGGTTGTTTTCAACGTTAAAAATAATGAATCAATTTTTCGAATTGTTAACATTGACAATAATGATAATAATAAGCAGCAGGAGAGAATTTTTTTCGAAGAAAGCTTCGTCAATTCTTTCAACAAGAACGGGGGTTTTTTTTCACATTGTGAAAAAAAGACGTGGTTGTTCAATATTAAAATGATAATAATTGTTGCGTTTTTTCTTCACATTTTCAAAAAAGGCATGGTCGTTTTTTTGGTATTAGAAATTCCGAAATCGTTACATTTTTCACACTTTCAAAAAAGGCATGATCGTTAATATTAATGATACAATCAAAAAAGTCAAGGATCTTTTCAAAAAAAAAGCTTGGCTGATTTTCATTAATTAATATTAATAATAACGAATTTCTTTGTCAGTATTTTAGTAGCAGAAAAAGCTTGATTGATTTTTCTAACAATGATGGATGGATTAATTCAAAATTTTTAGTGGAGAGAAAATATTTACTTCTTCACATTTTTTGGAAAAGATGGGGGTTTTTTTTATTTACATAAATTTTATATACATGATGGCGAAATATGATATTAATATGTTTATTTATTATTTGAATTCAACCAATTAAAATTTTCAAAATTAAATTCGAAATTCGAAATTAAAAATCAACTAAATTCATAACTCGAAATCCTAAAATTAAAAAAAAAATATTGCTTTTTAAATTTTGTCAAGCAATTCATATGCGCTGATTTTGTTTGATCCCCAAAATTTGGTACGGTATGATCATAACGTTATGAATAATTTATGCTACCAAAAACCCATTGGTTTTGAGGTGGGGCCATTGGTTTGACGAGCTGTTGAACAGTAAAACAGTTTTTTTAGCAAAGCAAAATAAATTTTTTTATGGTTAATTATCATTCTACTGACCAGTTTACACATTAAAAATTCTCGTGTTTAACATCGAGACACAATAAGACATAAGGTTTGAAAAAAGACCCAAAAAACCAAATCGGCTGATATGTCTAATAAAGATATATACACTACCTGGACAAAAGTATAGGGACACCTGCAGATCATCACAAATAATTGAATAAAGTGACATGACAAAAA